GGCGGGTGCGTCGCCTGCCCGCCCCGGGGGCCTGGGGGTGGTGTGAACCCGCCTCTGCACTCTCACCACTCTCTGTACCACCAGGTCTGGGGCACTGCTCCAGAGATGCCGTCTGGGATCAAGCCGGTCCCGCCCAAGAGGCCCGGTCACGGGCGCAGCCATGGCAGCTCTGTGGCCTCTGCCACTTGCCCCCCACCCCTGCCCCTGACACCACACAGCCCTCATGCAAAGCCTTGCCCTTTCTTACTCGAGCTTCGGGGCCTCCACAGGCCCAGACACTCGGACTTTTCTTCTGTCCCGGCCAAAGCCCGTGGGGTGGGACGCGGAGCCTGCCTGTGGTGTCCAGGTGGGGTGGCCCAACGTGCGTTACAGTGACACGTGCGCCACACCACTTACAGCCTGAAGCAAAGCACGTGAGCAGGCCGCCCAGGGCACGGAGGCAGTGCCCCGGGAGGGTCCCCTCGGCACTCACCCGGGTGGGGTGGCTCAGCTGCCTCTCCCCTGCGCCCAGGCTCTGTCATCCAGCTCGCCTGCATCACTGCCCTCCTGCTGTGGAGGCCGCGCTCCGACCAGCTGGCGCTGTTCTTCGTGTTCCCCGGCCTGTGGGGCATGGCTGACGCTGTCTGGCAGACGCAGAACAACGGTGAGTGACAGGCGCCCCCGGCAGGCCCCTGGCCCCACAGCCTGGGCACAGGAGGAGGGGGTGCTGTGGGCTGCAGCAGACCCAGGCAGGGCAGAGCCCCTCAGACTCCACGGGCCCGGGCTGCAGAGGCGAGGGAGAGATGACAGAGGCTGCACTGGGGAGCCCCCTCGGGTCTGAAGTAGCTGCTCTGAGCATTATCGGGGTCTGTGATGTGAAACAGGAAACTCGCCTGGCCCAGTCCTCCTGCGAGGGGATTGTCCTGATAGTGACAGTCCTTCAGGAGGGCCATGGCCATGGGAAGGGCTCTGAGCCATTGAGCGAGCTCCCTGGGCCCCCAGCAGGGCGCAAAGGCCACCTCAGGCGCTGTCTATGGAGGGTGGGAAGGGTCGCAGTCCCGGCGGCCAGCGGCTGAGCGGGGCGGGTGGGCATGCTCTGGCCTCAGGCAAGTGTGGCTCTCTCTGGAGCCAGGCGGGTACTGGTGGTCATGCAGGAGGGACGCAGGAACCGCTGCATGCAGGTCAGGCCTGAGGCAGGCCTTGGCTGACAGATCTCCGAGCGGGTGTAGAGTGGGGGCCGTGGGGGTCTTGGGGACTGAACCCTGAGAGCACAGCTAGGTGAGAGGGCTAGGGGGCTGGGCCTGGCAGCGTGGC